AGGGGTTCCTCACCGTGGTAGCTGATCTCCACTTCTCCAAGGGGCTGCGGGAGGTGATCGAGAAGTATCGCCCCGCGCCCACCGCCCTGGGCGGCCCCCTGCCCGCGGAGCCCAGCCTGGAGCCGCTCCAGCTCTAGCCTGTCTCGCCGGACAGAGGCCAGAACCTGGGCTGGACCCATAGACTGTAGGTAGGCAACAGCTCGTCCCTCACTAGCGCACACCGCAGGGCGTCCGTGCCCGGGCAGGACAGCACGGGGGAGAGGGCCGCTCTGGGAACCCCTGCTGCACCTCCCAGCACACTAATAAACAGTCGCCTCCGCTCCGCACCGCCTTGTTGCTTGGAAGGTGGCACAACCCAGCCTGCGCCTGCTGTCCTAGGGGAGCGGGGGGAATGAGGCAGGCGCTGCTTTTCTTGCCTGGAGGTACCCAGGAGTCGGGCACAGCCCTGACGAGCAGCAGAGGGGCTCAGAGCAACTGCACTTTGCCCTGTCCATGCAGGTGCCTCCTTTGCAGAAAGCCTCAGTGCTCCTGGGCACAAGTAGGGGCAGAGCACATCAGCACTAGCTGCTGCCGGCGGCTCGGTGGAGGCTCCGCAGAGGGCACCTTCCTCATGCTGGGACCAGAAAGCAAAGCAGGGGAAGCAGAGAGCTGCCCAGAGCCGTTAACAAGAGCAGAACTACAGTGTTCAGAGAGTTTATTGCAAGGCCCCAAGAGCACGACGTGCTCCAGGCACTGAGTGGGGCAGAGAGGTGCTGGGTTTGTTCAAACCTCCTTTGCTGAGATGAGGTGGTCTGGGAGCAGCAGCGCTGAGGGGAGCCCTGAGTCCCCAGGGGCAACACTTTGGTGCCCGCTGCCCCGCGAGGCACGGAGCTCAGAGCAGCCCCGCCGTGGGGCACAGGGCGCAGAGTGGCTGTGCCAGGCAGCCTCATGCCGTGTGCGTGTGGGGCCAGCACGCAGGGGGAAGTGGTGGGGACAGCTCCCATCCCCAGAGGGAAGTAAAGGGGCTCCAGGGAGAGGGAGGAGGCGAGACAGGAAACCACAGCGAGGCGCAGACTGCAGCAGGGCCTGATTTCTCACCCCACAAGGACAGAGCCCCCAGCCCAGCCACCCCCTGCCCTCCACCGCCTGCAGCCCAGGGCCCGGCTGGGGGTTCCGAGGGCTGCGCAGGGCCCCGGGACTCCCTGCCCGAGGCAGTGGTTTCGAGGCAGTGGTTTGTGTCACAGCACAGGGGCTGCTGGCGCAGCCGGGCAGCAGGGAAGGAAGGGCTGTGCAGGAGC